TCGTACTCTGACTAGATGCTGTAAGCGAGAATATATCTGAAAAAAAGAATCGGTCGAATTTATATTTTCATGAATAAGGGGTCACTGCGATCACTGCGATGTAAGATTGCTTTCATTTTTTTTTTTTTTTTTTTGAGATAATTTGTTATTGCATTTTCGACAAGTTTATAGATTATATACTATATGCGATCGTTATCGGCATAATTGATTTATTGTAAATGAAATGAAATCCGATAAGTAGTCAGTACTCTCCTCTTGATTGCAAAATATACCGGAAGCTGGGTAAAGGCCAGTAAAGTTTCCCCTGCTGAAGTTTCTCTGGCAAATCTTAGAATAGTCGAGTCAGAGTAGAGGCGTAAGACCCCAAAATTTTGTTAAGATATTCTTTTACCTGACTATTCACAAAAAGTAAAGGCTTTTTGGTCGCTGTAAACTTCTAGTAATCGTCTGAGAAATTTTACAATTTTTAATTAATTCTTATTATTAGTTTTCTCTTCTTCTTCTTTTTTTAAAATTATCCATTCAAAATTAAATCATCATTTAGATTTGTTATGAAAGCGAAGCGAAATGTCTTTAAGAGAATGTACACAGGGGAAAGACGTAAACTGAGCACAATATATATCTAGAAGTTTGTAGTATTGTAACGAATTGATGTTCATCATGCGGCGAGATATCGTATCAAATTAGAGGCATGATGGGATGGATACACTGCTACATCGAAATTTGTATCCTCTGATATCTAATGCCTAATAAAGCTTTAGTATTATATGCTTGTAATCATTGTAACCATTCACCGAAAATGATGAATGGACTCGTTTCAATTGCTCGATTGGAGAGAAATAGGGATTAAATGGTTTAACTTCTTTGTGACGTGAATGAGATTTATTGAATATACATAGGGGTATGTATATTATGTGTATATATATGTATGTATGTACATATGTATTATTTGTTTTTTTTTTTTTCACCTTATTCTATTTTATATAAAGTTGGCTATTCTCTTGGTTGAATTAATTTCCTATTATTACGATTTCCGTTACAGTTGACCGTAAATATATTTATAAATATACAGGCATAGGTATATGCATATATACGTACGCAAACTCACGCACATATATATATATATGTGCATATATATATATATATATATATATATATGCATATGTATATACGCATACATATATGCGTTATATGTTTATTTATTATTTATTTATATATACGGTTTTGGTCAAAATAGAGAGAAATACGGGAATATTAGGACAGGGAAGAAAAAATTGTTATTATTATTATTATTTTTTGAAATTTTCGTCTTCATGACTCATGAAAATGGTTTACAGTTATGACGTTAGAGTTTAACGGTGGGTGAGTTCTATTATAAAAACTTTGAGCACCCATTCATTGTAAACCAGAAAATAAACTAAAAATGTTTAATAATCTTGAAAATTAATTTACAAAACATAAAATATATGCGTCGTCGTCATAGACCGACCATATAAAAAAAGACTAAAAATTTGTTCTGTATATTTTAAAGCTTATTATAGAGACCTAAAATGGCTTAGCAATTAAAAACCATTTTTTTTTTTTTTTTTTTTTTTGCAACAAATTTTAAATTGTTTTGCAAATAATTTTCTTTTTAAATTTGAAAAAAAACAAAAAAAGGAAGAAAAGAAAATTCATAATTATGTTTTTATAATTAATTGATGTATGCCCTCAACAGTTTCAAGGTTACATTTTTAAAATTACATTTGTTTTTTTTTCTGTTTTCTTAACACTTTTAGAGGATATGAATTTAACAAAAAAAAAAAATAAATAAATAAATAAATAAATAAATACATGAATGCTGGTTTATAATTTTAGTTAATTTGTATAAACGAAATCCGTTCTTATTTAAATGTGGTGTAATTTTTTTTTTTTTATTTTATTTTTTCTTTGATTAATTTATAAGTCATCACAACGATGCATTAATTTATTTTTTTTTTCAGTTTTATACTTTAAAATAATAATAAAAGAAAAAATTTTAATATTTGATTATTGTTTTTTTTAAATAATTCTTTTCCTTAACGTGATTTAAATTGAATTAAATGAGTTACCGATAATAACAACAGGATGTCTGATTGACTTGAACGTCGCTGCATTATTCTTATATCTTGTAGGATTTCAAATGGACCTGGACCTGTTTAACAATTAAGCCAATCATTGCTTATTATTACTTATTATGGAAAATTTCATTTTAATTTGCATTGTTGTTGCATTAGCATTTATATTTAGTTCAATTTCGACAACTCATTTAGTTTTAGTTTAGTTTTTCACGTGATTATCTTTTCTTTCTTTTTTTTTTGTTGTTGTTGCTTTTTCTTCTTCTTCTTTTTTTGTTTATTGTATTACTAAACAAATTAATATTTTTAGTTTTTCCATTGGTGACAATGTTTCGCTTATATATATATATATATATATATATATATATACATATTTATATATATGCATATACATATATATATATAGATTATATATTTTTGTTTTTTCTTTTATTTATTTATTTATTTATTTATTTTTCTCTTTTTTTTTTAACAAAATTATAGTAGTTACTTAAATAAATATTTTTACTACTATAATTTGTATGATTAAATGTGTGTATAGCATCTATAATTAAAAACAAAGTTTTTCTAATCCTTTCTTATTTTTTAATTATGTTCCTCTGGCATTCAATTAGATTTCTAAACTAAACTGTTTAGCTAAATTTGCTGTCTGCACGCAGTGATGATCAAAAGCGTTTCTGAATTACGTTAAACTTCAATTTTTAGGATATTCTTTAATTAACAAAATTTAACCGAGTGTTGACCTCATGTCATATAAAAGTGACACCTTACTACTGAGCAGCGTAAAAGAAAAACTCTATTCAACAGTTTCAGTTTAGAAGTCTCCGCGAATACCAAAAACCGTTAATGTATTATGTTTGTTTGTATTGATTCAACAAGAAAATAAAAATTCTTCTTTTCTTTGCTTTTATTTTTTATAGCGTTTTCGATTTTTGAAAAATTTCTAATTCTGTATTTTTTTTATTTTCGTAAATGTTGAATTTTTTTTTTTTATTTTGTTTTGTTTTATTTTATATTTGTTTATTCATACTTTTTTAAGGTAAAAGAGAACCTAAACGTTTAAATGATTAAATATTCGCTGTTTCTCTTAACGATATTACTAATGTCTTTATCAAACAATTATATAATATTTTGTCATCCAAGCCAAGAGTTACTTATTTGCCATTTTCTCATTTTATCAAATAGTGAGTGATGAATATAGAAAGTTTTCCATTCATCATACATTGATTTTGGAATTGATAATGATTATTAAAGATAAGTCACTTCAAGGCATATGCACTACAAGTTGCTCGAGTTGCTCTTGAAAATTTACAAAAATCGAAAGCTCGTTAAAGGATTTTTTTTTTTTTTTTTTCGATTGATATAAGTATATGTGGAGGCATATCATTATCGCGCTAAGTCGTATCGATAATGAAAATATATCCTCCTATCTCTTTACGTCTTTATATCAAATTCTCTCATTAATGATTGCTAGAGATTGGCTTTGAATAAAAACAAAAATTAATTGTAACGGTAATGATCCCGAAAAAGCATCTTTGTAATACCTAGTATTTACGTTTACAAAAATAACAATTTAAAAAAAAAAGAGAAATTATATCGATTGCATGCTTTTTTATGTATTAAAACAAGTTAACCAACCAAAAATTAAAAAAAAAAAAAAAAAAAAAAAAAAAAAAAGTGTGATAATTTTTTTAGATTTAATATTATTAAAATTATTCCTTTTTTATATCAGCTTATTTTGTTTTTTTCTGTTCTTTTTTTTTTTTTTTTTTTTTTTAGTTTTATAACTAAACGGAGTGTTTATTTAATAAAGAAAAGAATAAATTTTTGAAATATTTCCTTTCTTGTGTATTTATTAATATATATATATATATAAATATATATATATTTATATATATGTATATATATATTATTATTTTTATTTTTTTTTTTCTAATCATTTCCTATATTTGCCATTAGCTGTGACTAGTATTAAAATGAAATCCTTTAACTTTTGAGAGCAATTTTATAAACCGTATTTTTTGAAACTTATCTTACTCAACATTAATAACAACAAAAAAAAAGAAGAAAGAAATTCAATATTCCTGTACTTGAGCGCGATACCCTAAGAATTGTAAAGGCACTCACAACGATACGACATTTTTTTATTGTTCTTCCTCAGTATAAGTGGTGCAATAATGCCGTTTTCTTAATTTTAGGTAAAGATATTGCGATTGCATTGCAAAGAAAAGATTTGAATAAGATTAATATAAAGCAAACGCAAAAACAATCCCACTAAAGTGTATTTTAATTCTTTTCATCTTTTTGCATATAAGTTGCAGACGATGCAATAGCTTTTTTGGTGATCTAATAGACGCAAAATAGATAGACGAGTTTATGTAATCGATTTTTCCAATAAATTCCGAATCATTTCATAATTTTGAATTATCCGAACAGATTTACGTAAAGTTACCTGCAAATGAAATATCATTCATCCATTAGGATTGCTTTGTTTCTAATATGACAAATCATTTAGGGAATGTCTCCAATTCGTGTAAGACAGCGACGATCGGAATGATCGGTCAGAAACGTCGAAGAGATAGAGTGGTGATGGCCGCAGCAGCTTAGTGGATGTTATGTGCCCCAATCATTAACCTAAGGTATTATGCCTTATGTTGAAAAATCTTGTTGTCTTATATAAGAATATTACAGTGCGGGTAGGAATGCAGAATGACTTTTAAATCTATTTAAATTCAAATCCACAACAGTAGTGCTCTTTGCAAGAAAGTATTGAAAAAGTAGTGAAGCAATTCATTATTTGAGGATTTTTGAAATCTTTGCTAAAAAAATTAAATAAAATCAAATACTTTAAAAAGAAACAAGTTAAGACGTGTTAAAAAATTCCTCTTCTTTCATTTTTTTTTCTTTTTTTTTTTTTTCTTAAAAAAAAAATATTTCCGGGTGTTGAAGCTCTGTACAGTAATAACAAAACACAATTCGTAAAAGCGGTAAACATAACTGTTCGATATTAGCCAAGTGGAATAACGGCAGAGAGAATATTAATACAAGGATTTTAAAGGATATAATTATAGAATGTTAAACAAAATGAAATTGATTTCTCTTGATATCTTAATCTTAAGATTCTCTGAATAATCAATTAATTAACAATTTTACCGAGTTTTCTTTAAGTGGATATATAGTCTCAAAAAAAAAAAAAAATTTATCAATTTATAAATTTTTTAAAACTTTTCTATTTTTTGTTTTTATTTATTTATTTATTTATTTATTTATTTCTTTTCATATCAGCGATATTGGGATGCTTTTAATTCATTGCAATAAAGTTAAAGGATTTATTTTCTCTTTTGTTACATTTTAAAGGTTGAAAATTTAAAAAAAAAAAATTCCAAAATTCAACAACAAACCAATAACTAATGACTTTGGCAAAATGAGTTTTTCTTTTTCTTCTTCGTCTTCTTTTTTGATGAAACAAGTTGGAAGATAATTGATGACACTATGTATGTATGAGGATCTGGTGAGAAATTTCGCGGAATTTTTCAATTTCCGAATAATGTATACAATTCATATCTTTTTGATGTTATTCTGGTACATTTGCTCTTAACATTATGTTTATTTTATAATTGAAATTCTTGTTAAAAAAAAACCGACTCGTATTGTGATACAGTCTACGGCGGTAAGAAACAAAAGAAGAGGAAAGTTTATATTGAATGATATAGATAGGGCGCAAATCTTTGGGGTTCCTTTTGAGTTTGTTTCGATTCGATTAAGAAAGGATTTACAAATCGCATAAGCATTTGCCGACAGAACTGTAGAGACTAACTAACAGATTAACTGTTTACGCGATATTAATTTATTATTTGACTTATGGTAGACAATTTGTTCGGTTGTCTTGAGCATGAATGTGTCAGCGAAAACTGTGCTGTGCACAGGAAATTTCAGATATCTAACTATAAGATTAACAGAACATATGAATGGAGAGGGTATACACGTATATGGATATTTTTTTTTTTTTTTTTTTTATGGTAAATTACTTGGGAGTAATTCTTTTTGTAAAAATACTTTAGTTCTTTTTCGCCGCCCGCTTGCACGCATGTGTAGTAGAGCAGTACAAAAATGATCTATGTCTTTAGAAAATGAGTAGAAATCTAGAAAATGAGAAGTATTTTCGGTTAAATTTAATAAAACATCAAAACTGAGGCACAATTACCTTAAATGGAAATTCAATTGGGTGATGGAAGAAACTGAAAAAAAAAAAAAGAGTTCATTTTCGTTTCTCGAATAGACGTTTTCAATTGGGGAATTGCAATAAGGATTGTTTTTACCAGCTCGAACGATTGCTAAGTGTTTCTAATCGTAGCATCAAATCGTATCACGCCTATATTCCAGATTTCGCTACAACTTTTTCTTCAACTATTGGCTAAACACAATATGTATGCATGCAAGCTTGCATGTATGGCGTGGCCGTCTGGCGAAAGGAATTATGAAAAGACTTTACTACTACTACTAGCTTTACTGAGTAGCAGTGAGGGCAAAATGTTAACTGGAAATCACAATTCTTCTAATATTTCTGACGACCAACTTTAAGATAAGTCATATTCATTCAGTTTACTTATAAATTGAAGCATACAGTGGAAGGAAGCAAGTGTACCAATACAAAAACAAGAACATACATTATATTATAATTGAATTTAAAGAACAAATGGAATTTTACAAAATTCATCGAATATCGATCGTCCAACATATACGTATACATAAATGGGATTTGTCATCAAGTATATTAAATGGGATTTTCTTCATCAAGAGCTTCACTTACTGCGTTCGATATTTTTGTTATTTTTGTTTTTTTTTTTTTTTTTCATGTTCGCTTCTTCATTTAATTAGTAAAAGTGTTTTTGTTTTCTTTCTGTTTTTTTTTTTTTTTTTTTTAATTTTCATTTTTTTTTTGTTTTTTTGTTTGTTTTTTTTTTTTTTTTTTTGTATTACTTGTGATACAGAAGCTTAGATAAATTCAAAAAATTGAATTTATATATTATTTTTATACTTTTACATAATTTTTCATTTATTTGATTTCCAAAATAGTAAACATTGTAGAAAATTTGTAATAACGCACAAAACATATATAATTAAAATTTTGTTGTAATGATACCTACACAGTTTTAAGAGTTCTCTTTATTTTCTTTGAGAGAATATTTGTTTTATTTAGTTATTTACTTTTTTGAAAGCAAAATTCAATCAAAAATAAATTGTGAAAAATAAATAATAAAGTTGTAAACTTTAAATTCAATTCAAATATTTTCGATTAAAAATCGATCGAATTTCGATAATTAAATTAATGCTGAACCATGAATAAAATAATGAATTCAACGTTTTAAGAAATTGAATTGCAAGTTTAAAACCTTTGATTAGATCAAGTATAGCGTTTAGTAATGCATTTTTTTTTTTTTTTTTTTTTTTTTTTTAGCATTGCAGCAATTGCAATTACATGTTATTAGCACTAAGTTAAACGGTCAAAAGCCGATCTCTGATGGTTATAGCATACAGCAAAGGCGAAGGCATAGGTTTGTCGTCAATATATGAACAAAAATATGACTGTTGTATTGCTATTTTAATAGCTATGTCTATCTCTACTATTGCCCGCAGACGAGTAGTACTATGGATCATATTTTCACCGTGCAGGAACCGGAATGAATTAGAAAATATGGTTTGCTTTACAAGTTGTCTTGAAAAGATGGAGAAAATGTAACGAAGCTTGAACTTTGTTTTGTTTTATAGTTTTAAATAAAGCTTAAAAGAACAAATGGCGAAACTGAGAGATGGAAATCTTGACTGTTTTTTTTTTTTTTTTTTTTTTTTTTTTTCTTGCTATATAAGTGATTGGGTAATACTTATACCGTACCCATCCAAAGTTCCATTATAGCAAAGTTGAACTTTAACAAGTTTTCACATTAAAGACAATTTTTTAACTGCTTTATATAAACAGCATTTGCAATTTTTTGTCGCTTTAAGACCAGAGAGATAGACTTTAGCTGGGATAGAGTACACGTGATATATTGTTTAGTAGAATCTGTTTTTTTTTTTTTTTCTTTTCTATTTTTGCTGCTTACTAAAAGATGCATTACTAACAGCTGCACATGTATGCAAAACAAGTCATTAAAAAGAAATTGTAACGGTATAATAGTGAAGAAAGTTTTATAAATTTTACTCTTTACTTTTTTCAAATTTTCAAATGCTTCGAGGCAAATATTGAATTACTATAGTGCAAAGTTTTCATTTACTTTTTACAATAGTATACATATGCAACATTTAATAAAAGAAAAAAAAAGAAAAGAAAAGAAAAAAAAAAAAAAAAAACCAAAACAAAAAAAAAAAAAAAATTATAAAATAAATAATAAATGATTATAAAATAAATAATAAATGATTTTTTTTTTTTTGCTTGACTTGATAATTACTTTTTTTTTTTTATATAAACACAGTAACGGTTCCCAAAAGAAGAAAAAGTTTAAATTAACTGATTAATTAGTTAACGTAGGTTTTTTGCTTAGAGGTTTTCTTTTCTTTTTTTTTTTCTCTCTAAATAATTTTTATAAGGCATTTGGAGAAAACAAATTTTTTCATTTGTTTTTGTTTTTTTATTTTTTTTTTGCTTTTTTAATATTTTTCGTTTAAAATTTCTTTTTTCCTTTCATCATTCTTTAATATGCATCAACGAAAATAGTAAGAAAAGAGGTTGGAAGAGTTGTAAAGCAAAATAAGGGAACTGTAAGAGGG